TAGAGTTGTGCAAAAACATAAGACAATCACATTTTTAAAACTTTGCTCACAACTGAAAAAATTTGTGGAAAATACAATTTTTGTAAGGATTATGTTACTTATATATAACATGTAACAAGTTTAATATTTTAAAATGAGTAAATAGACGAATTGAGATTGAGGACAAAAGAAAAAACTTCTTCAAAGGCAAATTGATTGCTTAAAAGCTGACAGCACCTTTCCCCTGAGTTTCAGAAAAGGTCAGATACACAGAATCAACAGTGCTTCATTATCATAATGCATTCCTAGGTTTCCAACTCTGGGCATCATCTCATCTCATCACTCATCATCTCAACTCTTGCCTATTATGCTCCCATTATACTAGTTTTCTTTCAGGTCCTGAAGTTCACAATTTTTTTTTTTCTCCTCAGAACCTTTGCATATGACAACCCCTCTACTTTCCTGCCCCTGTTCACAGGGCTTTAGGTCTCGGCACAGAGGCCCACTCCATCCCACCTTTACACCCTATGTAAAGGTGCCTCTCCCATATCCTATATCTCAGACCACTTACCCTTTACTGCACTAATTACAACTTGAAATAGGTTTATGTGTCTTTTGTCTGCCCTTTCATTACAATGTGTGTTCTATGAGTATAACAATCTAGTTGCCTTGTGTCATAGTTATAGTCTCAAGATTTACACAATGTCTGCTATATGTAGATACTGAAAAAAATGTTGGAAAAATGAAAGGACAGTAACAGGTTATTTGATATCAACTTGGTAAGTCTTAAAATTTTGATATGGTTACTTAATATATTAGTTATCACTCCAAACTCTGTTCTACCTGCAAATTTTACTTGTATACTTTCTTTTTTTTCCATTTGCTTATTTACTCATTCAAAGAAAACTATCAGTTTTTATGTATCAGCCATATAGATTATAAGGATCTCACCACTTATCAAAGAAAATCAGTGCATAATAAAACAAAATGATCTCCTCACCAAAACCAAAAAACCAATTAACTCAAATACAAAACCTTAAACCTAAGTAAAATATTAAAATAATGATGAAAAAAAATGAGTCCTCTGGAAAAAAAAGTCTAATTCATGTATCAAAAAGAAAATTAAGCTAAGTACGCCTGCTTTTCTTAGGGAATCCATGTTGACTTGATCATATTTTTCTTCTAAATATTTATAATACATGCTGTAAATGTAATATATTATAAGAAAGAGTAATAAAAGAGGGTAAATTTGATCAAAGTACATTATATGCATATGTGGAAGTATCACAATGAAGGCCTTTTGTACAATTAATATACAGTAGTTTTTATAAAAAGCGATACAGTAGTTTTTCTAAGAAGTGAAGAATACTGTGATAACCTGTAGCATATTTGTACCAGGATTTCATGTCAAAATTAGTTTATTCTATAATGAGAATAATTAAGGAAAAATCCATTCAAAAATACATTACTGTAACTTATTTTTAATCCCAATTATTTAATATAATTCTCTAATTACAACAACTATTAAGGAAGGAGAAGTCTGGAACTTATTATTGAAGGGGTGTAAATAGAGAGACTGACAGGCAGATCTGTATATATGAAGAAGAGCTCTGTAGCAGTTAGAGCTGCCTTATCTACTAGTAGAGTGGGCTACTTGCAAATCAGAAAGCTCTCCACTAAGTCTTTAAAAAGAACTTTTTCCCAAGATGGAGAACAAAGTCTCATTCAGGAGGCACCATTAAATAGATCAGCACCTCTCAAACTAAGGGAAGTACTGTCTTAAAATTTCCACTCTGTAGGAGATCAGCACTTTTTGAGTTGGGGGTAAGGGAGTGCAACACAGGGCCTCATGAATGCTAGGCAAGCACCCTACCACTGAGCTCCAGTCTAGGACCAGTACTTTTATATAATGTAAAAGTGTCATATACCTGGATATCACAGCAACATTAAATTGCTATTCTAAATGTATATATATTCCCCTTTTTATTGTTTTTACATTAACTTGCATGTGTATGTGTTGTTTGTGCCACCTCTCTCCCCCCAACCATCCACCCCAGGTAGAACCTGTTCTGCCCTCTTATTCTCCCATTTTGTTGAAGAGAAAACGTAAGAGATAATAGGAAAGACATAGTGTTTTTGCTAATTTGGGATAAAGGTACCTATACAGAGAGATTCCTGGCATTGTTTCCATGTACTTGTGTATTGAAATCCACACTGGTTCATCTCTACCAGACCTCTTTGCTACTTACTGGTCCCCTTCCCATAGTGGCCTCTGCTAATTTAAGATTACTTTATTTGCTTCTCTACAGTGAGGACATCAACCACATTCAAGTTTTAGGTTTCCTTCATTTTCCCTATTCCTCCTATGTGCACTCTCCCCTTAGTGTGTGACCCATGTCCAATAATATTACTGCATTTGTTTTAGGAAGAACATGTGACTTTTGGCCTGGCTAACTTTGCTTAAAATGATGTTCTTTAGTTCCATCCACTAAATGTATATTTTTGATTTCTGGTTTTAACTTGTTGTACCCAGGCAAAAAACACTTTGAGAAGCATTAGATTAGATAGCCCGTAAGAAATCTCTGAAGTTCCACAGATTTTCAAATTTACCTATTCTATGTTCACTGGGCATTCATATCAAATTAACCTCTTTCTTTAGAAATTCAAGAACAGCAGTAATCTGAACACTATTAGCCTGACATCACTAGATCAAGAACTTGAGAGTTTTACTGCATTAATCTTTTTATCTTTTTAAACTGAAAAAGCAAATTTTACATTTTACCCAAACACATTTGAATGCTCATTTAAAACTAGTTACAAAAAATTTATTTTCAGCCATTTCCCACACTTAATTTTCTGGTGTCACTTTCTTTGTAGAACTTGATAATGAAATGTGTAACAAATTATAGTTGATCACACATATGTAATTCCAAATTTATCCTACCAGCTGGTAGCAAAACCAACAGAGAAGTTACTTCAGAGTGGAGGAGGGGAGAATATTCATGAATTTCAGAAGCACTGGTAGAGGATTTAAGCATTTGCACTATTTACAATATCAAGTGGTGATCTAGTAAAAACAAATATGGTGAAGAATTATTAAAGGGGTGGGGCAAGATTAGAAGCTGTCCATCCTCATGCTTTTTCAAATACTCTTGGTATTCTCTCTTCAAGGGCAATGAAGTTTTTTTTGTTTGTTTATTTGTTTAAAATCTGCTATCTTCTTCAAGAACCATTAAAAACAAAACAACCTTTCTCCCTAAAAGACAATTTTCAGATTTATGAGATTTTTTCCACCTTCACTATGCACAGTAGGTTCCAATACTCCTTAATTCATTATACTTCTACTAGAACAGGATTTGCTAACTGTGAGTATATGGATGGGTTTAAATTTGGATGACTGAGCAAAGTTTCCATTTTTACATGGAAAAAAATGCCCATAGTATCAATACATTCTTAGAGGGTGCAATAACCAGAAAAGATTGTCTTTCTTTGGTTAAAAATGTGATCTGAATGGAAACAGAGGGTACAGTTTCCTCATTAATTGAATAGGCATAAAAGATAATTACATTAAGTTTCATAAACAAAAAGGACTTTAAAGGTAAACCCTTTTTAAAATAGATGATAAAACTGACATTTTGAGAGGTTAAGGGAATGTTCAAGGCCACAATGCCAGCTGGAAGGCAGAAGTCAGGAAAAAATGCTGTCCTATTGCTTGCATGTCCATTCTTTCACAACCAGCTACTCAGACAGGCCTAGGGGGAAGGTATTAGTAAGCATACTAAAGTCAACAACCCACCTCTGATAAATACCCACCTCAGAATAAATCAAGCTAATTCTTTAGACTCTTACTGGCTCATCATTTTCTTTTTTATGAAAGGTTATCTAAAATTACATATTCTCTTAGACACATTTTAGAACATGCTTCCTGGCCAGCAGGTACAATCAACAACTTGTCAATCATCTGAAGATGAGAGTGTTTGATCCTACTGCAATCAATCAGAGCCAAGGCCATTCACTTGACCTGGAACGGACAGAGGATGTTTAGAAGACAGAGGGCTTCAAGGAGGCACTTAAACACATTTTTTTTCTAAAAGCTTACAATAAAAAGTAAATTAGTTGAGTGGATCTTTCAGTAACTGTTGAAGCTGTTTAGAAATTTTAAGCAAAACCTCTTTTCAAAGTTTATTCTCTTGTTTATTCACACTACAGAACAGCAAGTGCAAAAACCAACAGAGATGATGTTCAGTGAAAAGAATTTTTATAGCAAGTAATTAAGTTGAGAAAGCTGAAAAAGAATGCCTTATTTTGGTGTCTGTTAGGATGAACAGGAATTCAAATTTTGTTTTAAATTTTTTTTCAAAATAATTACAAAATTGAAAGTCATAAATAAGAAACCCTTCACTTTCCTCTCCCCTTTGACTTCTGAAATACAGTGCAACTTTCTACCATCTGTTATTTTAAAGCAGAGACAGTAATGAACATATGGGCTTTCTCTATCAAGCAGCTGTAGTGTAGTTAAAGTTATAATAATTGTCTTTCTGTAAGATAAATTTACATTAAAACCCGCCCAGTTAAAAACAAATGACTCAGCCTCCGAGCCTTCCAAAATAAAACTGAAAAATTTGTAATATCTATGACATACTGCATTTAGAGATGTAGAGGATATCCTCTAAGTCTTGTGCTTTTATGTTAAGATTAAATAGATAAAATTCATGATGTCCAAATCTGGTTATTTCACCCAGAAGTCCACAATTCATGTTTTCTGTCTTGATCAAAGGGTAAGAGTATCAGAAAGGTTCAGGGACTACATATAAAAGCCATAACTATGTTCTTGACAGCAAGTAGTATGAATCCACTACTACTGTGACTCACTGAACTCCAAACTAAAGGCCCACTTATTTATAAGGACAGTCTCAACACACGTGACACACATATACCATTTATACTGAGTTTAAGTAAACTGAAAGGAATTCAAAGCATATTCCTGATCCTCCATTAGGAAAAAGAAAAATTCTTCCTACCTTTATCTGGGTGATTCAGAATCATGATTCTCCTGTGAGCTGCTCTAATCTTGGCCTTGCCAGCAGATGGGCTGTAAAAAGAAATTAATAAATAGTGCCAAATGCAGATTATAAATTAATGATTTATATGGGTTTCAACAAATTAAAAAACTAATGAAAATTTCACCATCTTGTGGACAAATACAAAACTACAGCTTTTCACTTAATTCCACTAGCCATCAAAATAAATCATGATTAAATGCTGCCTTGTGTTTTCTTTCAGCCTTTGTAACATCAGCACAAACACAGGTTAGAAAAGTATGTATGCAGACTAGAAGTTCCAAAGCTTATGCTTTTAAGTTATTTTGGAGGAAGACAACTTAGATTGTGTAGCAGGCAAGTATTTGGATTTCAGAGATAGAATGTTGGGTTTTAATCCTGATAATGCTATTTAGTACTGGGTAACCTTGGTTAAAAAAATTTTTTTGGTGGTACTGGAATTTGAACTCAAGGCTTTGCACTTGATAGATAGGCAGGCACTCTACCACCTGAGCCATGCCTCCAGACCAACCTAGGGCAAGTATTAACTTCTTTATGTTTCGTTTCCTCACTATAAAACAGGGCTATTAACAACATATTCTTCATATAGCAACTGTGAGAATGAAATGAATGAATGCCTGTGAAGTGCTAGGATGGCGCCTGGCACATATGTGCCCCTTAATATTATTATGATTATTTTATTATCTTTCTTATATGGAGCACTCCGAACTTCCTAGATCTCATAGTTTGTTAAGCTTTGTGAGAAACCTGGGGGCAAACTTGGCTGTTAGAGCCAAAAATTAAAGAAGGTAAACAAAACCTTCAGTTTTATTAGATAAACTGAATTCATCCAGTATTGGCAATGTTTCTCATTACTACATTTTCTCAGCATGGACAAAAATTAACACCAACACGAAAATCCTATTATTGCTATCTAATAGCTATACTACCTTATCTAAGCTACTTAACTTTTCTGGGCCTCAAATGGGGATAACAGCTGACTTATAGTAGAGGGTAGTTGTTGTGAAGCCCAAAATAATTTAATTTGTAGGGATGAACCACACTATAGTGCTAAGCATGTACTTTTACAGTTATTCAGACATATGTTCAAAATCCTAATTCCACCACTTTTTAGCTAAGGAGCTTTTCTTGCTTACTTGTACTCAGATATAATTTTCTCATATGTAAAATATACATAATAAAGCCTACCTCCAAGAATTACTTTAAAAATTAGACAATATAGTTTAAAATATCAGCATGATCTAGCATGTAGTTAGTGCTCAAATAGTAGTTATATTATGGATATAAAGGATGCTTATGAAAATATCTTATGCATGTTGTACTTTCAAGAAATGAGTACAAGTACCCTAACTTAACATTTGTTGAATGACTCAGAAGCGTTATCATAAGCATCAATTAAATGTAAAGAGGGTCGCAAGGCCTGAGGAGGGTGGCCTGCCCTTTTAGCCTAGAATGCTATCTGTTTTGGATCTTTTTCTGTTTTGAACTGTGCCTCCCCCTTGCTACCAGTTGTTAATCCTTGCTTCTGCTGGTATTTAATCTCTAGCAGTTTCTTGCCAATTACATGCTCTCTCTAACCTGCTGCAGGTAAATAACAGATCACCAGTCATATCAAAATGCACTGCAAAAGGTCTAGAATGTTGGCTGGGGACATGGCTCGGCGGTAGAGTGCCTATGTAGCAAGCAAAGAGGTCCTGAGTTCAAACTTGAGTACTGACAAAAGAAGAAAAAGAAGGCCTAGCATGGTGATACTTCTCTATAATCCTAGTACTCAGGAGGTTGAGGCAGGAAAATCTTGAGTTCGAAGGTATGAAGCAAGACATGTTTTAAAAAAAACCCCAAAAAACAAAAGAGGCACTTTCACTCCCTGTGTTACTCTTGCTTATTCCTCCCAAAATGCACTAGTAATGGCTGAATAAACACAAAAATATTCTTTCATGAATAAAATGAGTAAGTCTTTCATATAAAGACTCGAGAATATTTCTTTTGGTTATTTACAGAAGTCTGCTGGGGGACCATTTCAAACTTACTTTTTTGTGTACAGGTAGCTACCAGATAAGACAGACAGTATGATTATAAAGACTACTAAATTGAGAAAATAACCATAGACATTGTACAAAGGCTATGAATACTATATTGGTTAACTGCCTATTAAGAAATGAAAAACACATTATTCTGAAAAATTCCACTCCAATTTGGTTTCCTGTGGCTAATTTATGCTTCTCATTCACTTTTTTGGTACACTGTCTATATATCTGACATGTCTAATTAGGCAGATTGAAAATGACTTAGGAGCAGAAGCTATGGGCTATATCTTAAGATTGTGTCTAGGACTATATATGCAATGGATGCTTAATACATTTTTATAATACCATCTGAAAGAAAATAATTGTAAAAAGTTTCTCTAAATAACAAAGGCTCTATACTAGTAAACACATACTATAAAAGACTATCACATAATAAAAAATTATGAAGTTAAAAAAGGGACAGCTTTAAAAACCTTATTTCTTAAAGCTAATCACCATATAATGAAGATATAAATTCAGTAAAACCCAAATTTCCATTGTACATTTTGAGGATATATGAAATATGGTTTCTTATTCTGGATACTAAGTTTTAATTGTATATATAAAACAAAATCTGAAATCACTTCAGTTAAAATATCTTTGAAAATCAATTACATTGCCTATAAAAAACAGTACACATGGTTTTGCATGTAATACTTCAGAAAGTATTATGTACATTGAAATCTTCAACCACCAAACTAGATTAAAGTAAAAAAAACGTCAGAAAGGGAAGCTCATGTGCACAAGCGTGGCAATTCAAAACATTCAGCTTTTAAAATCCTTAGTGGTGAGCTTTGGGGCTGAGGGAAGTATTCTCATTTCCCTGCAGTGTTTATTCCCATTTTATTATGGCCATAAAGATTAAAGATGGGAGAATGCTAGCTTTTAAACTTAGTATGAAAAGTAAATGTAGCTGTGATATGTGTACAATATACAATTTCACCATGAAGTTGAAAATGTAACTTTGAATATTATGTTACCTAGATAACAGAATTCAAACTGTGCTCCCAGGAATACATCTGGCTGGTAGGTAGAGAGTGGAATGTGTGGAACTAACTGAGTGTTCCCCAGCCTCATAGCAAATGAAATCATTTGGGTTCATCTTTTTTTTTAAACCACTGGGCTTTGTAAAGTTAGAAAAATCACAGATGGGTATCATTTCAGATAATACCAGATAAAATGAGTTTTCCTGGGCAGCCCAGTACAATATTTTAGGCTTTTGTTATAAATATAAATTACAGTACAAAAAACTAAAGAAAAATTTCAAATATACATGTTAGCAGAGAATCATAATTAAAAGTCACAGGTACGACTGCAGAATCTTCCAGTGGCACACAGTACCAACAGAATCAGCAACATTTTGTGACTCCCTACTTGTTACATGGTCTACATAGTTTAGAGTCAATGACCACAGAAAACAGAGCCAAAACAATATATTCACATCTTGAAGCACCATGACATAATTAACACTGCCTGACCAAAAGAACACAGCACAGAAAGTAAATTTCACATTTTAATTTAATATGTTAAAGGCAAATAGCTTCTGCGTTCATAACAGAGATGGAAAGAGAGAGAAGCCAACATTCAGCACCTGTGAACTGAGAGGCACTCATATCAAAAGATACTGTGACACGCTTATATTATTTTAATAAGTCAAAATATTATTAATCCCTACTCAAAAATGAAGAAAATGAAGTGCAGAAATGCCCAAACTAATCTGACTAAGAACATCTGTTGCAGAAACTGAGTGGAAGAGTTAGAATAAGGATGTATTTTGCTAAGTTGACATCCACCAAGTAGTTAAGTGCTGCGTTTTATGTTAAGAACTTCATATGCATTATATAATCTTAACAGCAATTCTGTGCAGTAGAAACTAATATATCTTTAGTTTACACAAGCTGAAACTGAGGTCACAAATACTGTAGATGTTATGATTGGTATTCATTCCCAAGTCCACTTGACACCAGAATCTGTGCTCTTAATCACTGATTTTTCCTTGTGAGTTTTGTACAGCCTTTTAGTTCTATGGGGAAAAAAACCCCTTAAAAATCATGTATCTTAAAAAAACAAAAACAAGTCATGTATCTTAGGAGAACTCAAAAATATAATCAAGTCCTAATTATCAGTCCTAACAATATAGGTGCCACAGATAATATTAAATGATTAGCCTTAAAAACTTTTCTTTGGTTTTGTGGTATGTTTCACATTCACATCTCAAGACTATGTATGGGATGTTATGAAAGCCAGTAAGTGTAAGAAAAATAACAGTGCCATTCTGAATAATATTAAGCATGGAATAGTTAGCTAACTATCTAATCTGGCTCCTCTGATAAGGAGAACTCTCATTTCTTAGAAAATATCAAGTTAAACTAAGCATCCCTTTTTTGTTTATCTTACTAAGTCATAAAATGTTATGTTTTGGCTTAAAAATGTGATCTACAAAAGATTAAAATTTTTTGGTAATACAGGACTTTATAATTATCTCTTGTTTAATCATACTGATTAAATCACCAAGAGATTTGCTATAGATGACATGATGTAACCAATTCCCTCAAAAATGTGACACTGCATGATGCATGCCTATACTTCTAACCCTCAGGAGGTGGAGGCAGGAGAATTGTGAGTTAGAGGCCAGCTTGGGCTACACAGTAAGTTCAAGGCTACCCTAAGCTACAAAACAAGACTGAGCTACAAGGTGTAGTAGCTCAGTGATAGAGCACTTGCCTAGTATACACAAAGCCCTGGGTTTCATTTCCAGAACTACAAAGAAACACACACACACACACCCCTAAGAGCAGGCCCAAAATGAATAGTTGCTGATAAATCTATGGTAGGAAAAAATATCCCTAATATTAAGGGTCAGATGATAATCACACAACAATTGCACGGTATCGTTAACTTTTCTCCAATAGTGTCCAAAATTACACAATAAATGGACATGAAGGTAGAAGGAGTAAAATAAAATATGCTAGGTATCAAATTGCAGAAGTAGAATTGTAAAACAAAACATGTATTATAATTAAAAACTGATACATACCAAATTATAAAACTGGTCCAAAGTTCAGTGTCACAATGAGGGATACTTTGATTGATTGACCTGAAGCTTAGGTATTCAAATGCACTAGCTCCTTGTTAAAGAACAAAGGTCATCAAAACTTTAAGTGATGAAGTTTCAAACTGCAGAAACTTTGCTATCTTCTCCTTGTAACATTAAATAGAAGTAGAACCTAGTTTAACATTTATTTTCCCTTTTCAAGACAAGCTTGGACACAAAATACAAATACTTATGCAGCATACCTACCTTACACCTAAAATAAGACTAGCTTCTCGCCTACTCATTTTCTGCTCAAATCCTCCTTTATAGTAGGATAAAAGGCTCTGCAGAGGAAAGAAAGAGCAAGAAATAATTAGTTCCATGCATGAGGTGGCATGACCTCAATCCCATCACATAGCTGCAGTGAGAGTAATGCATTTTACCAAAAGTCAACTTGAAATTGTGGGGGAAAGCACCAAACAATGATCCTTTTCAAGAAGCTAGCCAAGATGAGTATTTTAAAAGTTAACATTTTTTCACTTTAGAACACATTAATTTTTCCACACTGAGATATAACTGAAGGGATAAAAAATACCCCAATTTTTTCTAAGCTCTGCAGTACTTTTCTTTTGGATAACCTTGTCCAAGTTGTTATGTTGATATGGCAGTCATCTTTTTGCCTTGTATACTGGCAAGCTTAGGAAAAAAGGGAGTATGTCTTTAGAGTAGACAGGCAACCCAAGAGAGGCTGAGAAATTGAACCAAATGGCCAATGGGGCTGGAAAGGTGTAAATAGGATGGGAAGCAGATTAGAGTTAATGGGGGATGACTGTGAAGGGCCTTATAACAATGCAAAGATAGGATTTTATTCAAAGTGGAAGGAGAAACCAGAGCAAAAGGGTAATACAAGTTTGAAATGATTATTTCATTTTCAGTGTGAACAGCAGAAAGGAGAAGGGGTTGAAGCAAGAGACCAGTTAAGAGAAATAATAGCTGGATGCCAGCTATAACCTAGGTACTTGGGAGGCTGAGATCTAGGGGATAGAGGTTTGAGGATAACCCAGGAAAATAGTTTCCAAGACTCCATCTCCAAAATAACCAGAGAAAAATGGACTGGAGGTATGGCTCTGGAGGTAGAGCACTTGCTTTGCAAGCACAAAGCTCTGAGTTCAAACCTCAATCCCATCAAAAAAAGAAAAAGAATGTAACAATAATCCAGGCAAGAGATGATGAGGTATGGACCAGGGTGGAAGGAGAGGAAGTGATGAAGAGAGGTCAGATTTTACAGGTAATTGAAAGCAGGTAGATTGAATATGGATTATGATGGGAAGAGAGAAATTATGAACATAACAGGGGTCAGGTTATGCACTGTTCAGATCCCCCCTGGGTAAAGGATTTACTTCTCAGACACTGGGACTGCTGCTAGAGAGAGGTCCCAGCTCTCTGACTGCTTAGGAATTGCCTTGCCTGAAAAAAGTCACACTCATGCCCTTTCCTGGGGCAGCCTACATCTAAAATGACTGATTGACAAGGGGGTATAAACAGTGTTGTTTTCTAAGGTTCATTCCTTGGACTCAGTTATACTTACTTCCCAGGTGATGTCACTTAATCGCACGGCCCTTTCACAACTTCAGATAACCACAATGACCCATACGGGCTTCAGAGGTCCTGTCTTTTGGTAAGATCATGCTGTATGTAGCCTAACTTTTTCTTCCATTTTTGTTCTTTTCCTTATTTTCTGGAGCTGCTGATCCTGAGTATTCCCCTAATACACTTACAGCTCACTAATCTTTGTCTCAGTCTGTTTTTGAGAACCCAACCTGTGTAAATGACTTTAAGGTTTCTGGCCAAATTGCCACTTAATAACTTAGGGAAGGCACAGCTGTTTTTTCTGGGTAATAGATATTAGGTTTGAAACATCTACCACATATCTAAGTGGAGAAGAATAATTTTTAGCAAGTTAGTATTTAAAGTCATGCAACTGAATGGGTAAGAAAGTCTAAGGGCTGAGCCCAAGAGACTGCATCATCTAGTGACAGCACACTAAAGAGGAATTAACTGAAGAAGACAGTAAGGTAGGAGGAAACTAGAAGCCAAAAGTGAGGAAGGGAAAAATGGTTTCAAATACTTCTGATGGGTAAAGTAAAATGGAAGCAAAGAACTGACTTCTGGATTTAGCAAAGAGTACGTCAAAAATTTTGACAAGAGCTGCAAAGGATGGCAGTGAGAGTCTGACTAAAGTCAGTTTAAGAATGGGCCAGGTGTGGTGGTTCATTACTAACACCAGCACTTGGCAGGCGGAGGCAGAAGAATTGCAAGTTGGAGGCAAGTCTAGGCTCAATAGCCAAACCTGTTTCAAAACATAGAATGGAAGGAAAGAAATGGAGACAGCAAGCAAAAACAACTATTTTCAGGAGCTCTAAACAGAAATAGGATATATGAATTCAGCTTTCGGAAGGAAAAACATGCATATATGATTGCACACATTCATGTTTCTAAAACCTGAAGCTGTGGATTTTGCTGTTTATTTTTTTTTCTGAGCCGGGATCTTACTATGGAGCACAGACTGGCTTCTCAATAGTGATCCTACTGCCTCAGTCTCCAGAGTGCTAAGATTACAGGCATGTACTACCACACCTGGCTTAAGGCTGTGTTTTTCTAAGGAAAAATAAATAAGCGTAGTTGTCCCTCAGTATCTACTGAGGGTTGATTCCAGGCTCCTCTGATGATTCAAAATGCTCAGATGCTCAAGTCTATTGTATAAAATGGCACGGTATTTGCATACAACCTACCTACATCTTCCTGTATACTTTAAATCAGGTCCAGATGACTTCTAATACCTAATACCATATAAATGTTTTGTAAATAGTGGTTATATTGTATTGTTTAGGGAAAAATTGCAAGAAAAAAAAAGTCTGTATATGTTCAGATACAAATTTTTTTCTCAAATATTTTCAAGTATGTACACCCAAATGTTTACACTAAAATATTGTATTGCAGTGGTGAAATTATGAATAGTTTTTCTTTACTTTTTTTAACTTTCTAAATTTTCAACATTAAACACATACTATTAATGCAACTCAAAAAGCAGAGACTGACTAAGTAAGAATAAAGTAAGGAAATTATTAGAGCTTTAAAAATGAGTCTCACACTAGGAGATGTGGCCATACATATAAATACACTGTTCTCTTTGAACAGTTTATGAGACATTGCTTCTTAGTAATTCTTGGTAATTAATTTATTCAACAAACAATTCAGCAACTACTATATGCCACACCCTTTTCAAGTGAGGTCAGAGTCTCTCTGTCCTTCATCACATAGATGTTAATCTATCCATATGCCAGTACTGTAGGGAATATGATATTTCAAGTAATTTACAATTTGATACAAAACAAACATTCCTCCTCCACTGCTGACATAAGTTTTGAGGGAAGAAGGGAATCAGTTTGGTTAGGTACACATACAAACCCAGACACATTTTTAATCTTTTGAAACATACATAGAGAGAAAAAGTACACAGATAGACAGATAAAAGATAGGGCTAAAACTAGAGCTAAGAAGGAATGAGGGACTTAACAGAGGAAGAGAAGCCAGTTTTAAAGTCTCTCTAAGGAGATCAAGGTCTTCACTAAATGCAAACCTCTCTCTCTAAATCTAAGTTGATTATCCGACTTACTTATGAAAAACAGCAATATCCACAGCAGTGCTTTCTACAAGAGCACATTTGTTCTTTTTTTTTTTTTTTTTTTTTTGTGGTATTGGGGCTTAAACTCAGAGCCTTCACCTCAGGCCACTCCACTAGCCCTATTTTTGTGAAAGGTTTTTCAAGATAGGGTCTCTTGAAACTATTTCCAGGGCTGGCTTCAGACCTCAATCCTCCTGATCTCTGCCTCCCGAGTAGCTAGGATTATAGACGTGCGCCACCAGCGCCCAGCTTATTTTTGTTTTTAAACCATGCTTGAAAGTAACTCATAGAGTAACTCTTTATGTGGGAATAAATACTTCTATCAGTCAGATCTAAAATTTTGAGTCAACATAATAAAGAAGACAGACTGATGTTTCCTGAACTGTCATTCCCACTGTAGTCACAAGGTTCATTAACCTTAAAAGCAGTATTGATACCTAAGCAATTTTTATTTTTATTTTTGCCCAAGTAGAAATGGAGCCTCAAAGAAGGCTCCTCAAAAATCTCCTGTCTGGAAGAAGTTTAGGTCCTAGAACACTGACTTTACTATGAATAAGTCAATCTTCATTTACATAAATAATCATTAAAACACTTTAAAAAAAACTAAATCATTTCTAAAGTTCGTTTTTGGAAACAGGGTCTTGCTATGTAGCCCAAGGTGGCCTTGAACTTTTAATTCCCCTCCCTTAGCTGCCCTACTGCTGGGATGACAGGCGTGTTCCACCACACCTAGAACTACAGTATTTTGAAGCTAGAAACTTAATCCACAGGAGCTAGAAACAGAAGGGAGGGGAGATACAGCAGAATGATGGAGGGGTGAATTCAACTATGATATATCTGATATATTGTAAGAACTTTTGTAAATGCCACAATGTATCCTCACCCAACACAACAATTAAAAAAAGTTAAGGTATAACGCAGAGAAACTAAAGCAGATACCTTAAAGCAACTGAGGCCAATAGGAAAAGGGGAACAGGTACTAGAGAAAAGGTTAGATCAAAAAGAATTAACCTAGAAGGTAACACCCACGCACAGGAAATCAATGTGAGTCAATGCCCTGTATAGCTATCCTTATCTCAACCAGCAAAAACCCTTGTTCCTTCCTATTATTGCTTATACTCTCTCTACAACAAAATTAGAAATAAGGGCAAAATAGTTTCTGCTGGGTATTGGGGGGGGGGAAGAGGGAGGGGGCAGAGTGGGTGGTAAGGGAGGGGGTGGGGGCAAGGGGGAGAAATGAACCAAGACTTGTATGCACATATGAAAAAAAAAAAAAAAAGTTAAGGTAGACAGAACAAACAAAAAACTGCTGTGCTACTCAACCACTAAAACTTTTGTACTTTTTTTTTCCAGAGGAAATCATGCCCTCTAAAGCTATGATATTTAGATTTTATATTATATAATTTAAATACAATTATTACCACAGTATTTTAATCTATCATTTTTAAATTAGTATTTACGTTATGAGCAGGCACAAAATGGTAATTCTGTATCCCTTCCAATAATAAATTATAACTAAAAGACTCTATTAAGCTTGATAATAATATATCCACATTGCATTATTTAGAATATAAAGACATAAGACACTGCAGACCATTTTCTGACAAATGCTGTGGTGGACCAAAAGAAATGTGCAGATTTACAAAAATGAGATTACGA